AGCTTTACCTGTGGTAAAGACAACGTAAAATTTCACATTTTAATACTGATGTTGTACACTGTTTTACTTAACATTTTGGGGAGTAACTGCCTCTGACTTCAATTCAAGAGGATACTTTTTTGTTACTAGTATAACCTGTTTTTGTAATGGCATTAGCAAATAAAGGGATGCTTATTATTCAAACAAAAAAGTGTGTTATCCTTGCTGATTGTTAGCTATGAATATGACAATTATTAATTGATTTACCCACAGTCTCCTGTGGAGGCTCTAGGAGATAGGGTAACCAAAGCAGATAAGAATCCCTACTTTTTGTGGTAGGGGCTTGGGAAAATCTCTTTTTCTTTCTGGGAGTCATATTCCTCATCAGTATGATAAGGCAATGGGCCTGTCTGGGGGCCTTTCCTGCTCAGTTTTCTCTGAGTCGCTGGGTGACAGAGATGTGTGTTCAGTGTGCACTGGGGACTGCAGCTAAGACTTGTACAGGTGGAGAAATAAAGGGAAAACTTAGTATGGCTTGTAAGTTCATCTTTTCCAGAATTATCATGATGATATCCAGTCTTGATGATAAGTTAAATTGCACTGTACACATCACTACTCTTTTATTGTTTTTAAAAAATTATTTATTTGAACATCAGCATGAGAGAGAGAGAAAGAGAATTTTCCATCCACTGGTTCACTCCCTAGATGGCCCCAGTGGCCAGCACTGGGCCAGGTCAAGGCCAGGAGCTTCATCTAGGTCTCCCATGTGGGTGGCAGGGGTCCAAGTATTTGGGCACAGACAGAACTGAGCTTTCTACTCTAACTTCACTCTGCAAACACTCATCCTCTATCCCTTTCTTCAGCCAGCAGCTCCTTTCTCTGAATCTTCATGTTTTGTGTTCTTTACAGTGAGAAATGCCTCCTTGGATACTGAGAGAAGGAAGAAGGACACACACAGAAAATGCACCCATAGGTACTCTGAGCAATAACCCTGGACCCATACAGGGTCCCTTCATGCATCACAGAGAGGGAGGGAGGGTCTCAGCCAGCAAAATTTGTAGTAGTGGAGGAGCTGAGTTTCCCCATGTCTGGCATTTCTTATTTAATTGATAGCCCCCCCCAAACCTTTTATTTAAGGTATACAAACTTAATGAATTTCATATATACAAATTTAGGAACATAGTGATTCTTCCCATCCTACCCTCCCTCCAACCCGCACTCCTACCCTTCTTCCTCCTCTAATTGTGATTTCACTTTTCAGGGCCTGCAGTTCCTTGAGAGTTCTGTAACCATGCCCATCACTGGTCTCCTCTCCTCACACTCACCCAGCCTTCCTCACTATGCAGAAGGGGGCAAAACACCTGCAAGTCTTCACTCACCTGGGCCAGATGTTTCAGATGTCTCAACTGGCCACATCTCCCTCCTGCTTCCATTCTGACCCTTCTGTCCTGGGCACAGCAATCACACCAACTTGCAGACAATACCCAGTGCTGGGTCTGCAGCTTAGCCAATAACACACTTGATTGTTTGCAATATGGAGAGAAAGACCTTCAGAGTGGAACATTCTCTTCCAGGGGACTCAGTACCCAGTGAGGGTCCTGAATGAAGCCTAAGGCCAAGGGCATGGCTTCCCTGGCTCTCCAGGGAACACAGGTCAGCTTAGCACGGGTTGTTATTCATGAAAATCTCCCAAAAAGTTCAGAGAAGGTTGAGATGCCCATGTGGCCTGCTTTAGTCATTGTTCCTCCTTCCCTTAGGACAGCAGCAGTGAACAAGGCTGAAGGTTCATAGGGGGCGGCTCCCAAAGGACAGGCTCTCACCATGGATCTCACAGGGACATCTACTCAGCTCCTGGGGCAGGGCTGGTGGGGCTTCTGCACTTCCCCCTCCCCCCCACACACATATAGGGTCAAGCAGAAAATGTCCTTAGAACAAGCAAGGTGCTTTTTAAAGTCTTCCTAGTTACAGCTTTCACATGGGCTGTGGTTGTTTTCTGCATTCCGTGAAAGCCCCTTTCAGAATCCAGATAGGCATTCTCCAACTTTGAATTTTTTTTTAAGATTTACTTATTTATTTGAACATCTGAGTTTCAGAAAGAGAGAGAAAAAAAAATCTTGAACTCACTGGTTCATTCCCAATTGGCTGCAACAGCCAAGGCTGGGCCAGGCCAAAACCAGGAGCCAGGAGCTTTATCCAGGCCTCCCACATGGGTGGCAGGACCAAGCACTTGAGCCATCATCTGCTGCTCTTCCCAGGCGATTACCAGGGCTATATCAGAAGTGGAGCAGCTGGGACATGAACCAGTGCCCAAAGAGGTTGCTGGTGTCACAGGCAGCAGCTTTATCCCCTATACCATAACAGCCCCCAACTTTGAATTCTTGAAGTAGGGGTGCTGCAGCAACAAGAATTAGCTCTCCTGCCTGAAAGAACTAAAAATAACAGCAACCACAGCAACAGACAAAATAGAGTATTTTCAAGATCCTTGACAGCTAGCAAAAAAGACCAGTGACAGGAACGCAGCGGGGGAGCCCTGTCATTGCTCCAACTCACTGTCCTCAGAGAGTTTCCAAGATAAACAGAGGGAGAGGACGGTGAAGATGGGCCCAGTGGGCCCTTTGGTAGGAGGACACTGAGCTGAGAGGCCCAGAAAGACAAAGTATCATTGAGTCTGTAGGGGGCGCCCGGGGGGGGGGTCACAGAAGGCGCCTTCTGAGCACACAGCACAGTGTGACCCAGGCGTGCACACAGGAAACCACCTAGTGTAGGGAAGTTGTTTCAAAAGCAGAGATGAGTGCCTGTCACTCAGGGCCAGAATAGTGACTATTTCCAAAAGACAGACTTTTTCAAAAAACAAGCAAGCACGCAAACACACAAAACCCCTCGGTGCTCCATTCAGCCCGCACCGCGCGCTCCTCCCAGGGCCCCAGAGCGCCCAGAGCCCCACCCCAGGGCCTCACCGCGGCCCTCAGCCTCCGGAGCCGCCGCGCTCCCAAGGCCACGCCCACCGCCGCGCGGCCCGGCGCTTTCCCGCCCTCCGCAAGCCCCGCCCACCCACCCGTTGCCCTCAGCCCCTCACACAGCCCAGGCCCCTGCGCCCGAGGGCGCCATCACGACCCCCAGCCCGGCCTGCAGGCCGCCGAGGGCCCTGGGGGCTGCCGCCCCCCTGGGGAACCCGGATGCGGACCCGCTTCAGAAAACAGAGCTGTGGACATGGAGGACCCCGCGCCAGGGTTCCGGAGCGGGGACAGCGGTGCGGGGTCACTTGAGGGCCGCCTTCCGGAACCGGAGTCAGAGGAGAAGACAGGGAACCGCGGACGCGGGGCGGACCCCGCGCCGGGGGACAGGGTTCCAGGAGGACGGGCGCCGGCCCCAGGCTCAGGACTCCGCTCCTCGGGAGGAGGATGCGGGAGCCGCGCCCACAGCTCCCGGGAGGGCGGGAAGGGCCGGGCCCCCTGGAGGAGGCCGCGGGGCTGCGGAGCCCGGGCGGCAGGGGGCGCTCTCCGGGACCACAGCCTCCTGCTGTTTGTAACTCCAGGCCTTTCCTTCTTACTGTTGTGTTTATTCATGGGAGAGAGAGAATTACAGAGAGGGGGGAGGCAGAGAGAAAGGTCTTCCATGCTCTGGTTCGCTCTCCAGATGGCCACTACAAGGGGTCTCGCAGGCAGGAGCAGGCCCCAAGCCCTCGGGCCATCTTCCAGGGCTTCCCCAGCCCATTAGGAGAGAGCCAGAACGGAAGAGGAGCAGCTGGACAGGAACCAGCGCCCATGGGGGAAGCCGGCTAAGCCTCCGCCTGCAAGGCCGGCTTCCCCCACCAGGACACAGCACAGGCCCGGACCACGGCGTTTCCGGTGCTGTGCCGAGAAACTGACTTGAAACTTAGCAGACTCCAGGAGCTAGAATCCTGCTGTCTTTTCTCTTAGAGAGGAGGCACGTCATCCCGCTCTGTCTTGGGCTCAGAGGCTCTGGAGCTGGCGCAGTCACACTAAGGAGAGGAGCCCAGGAGCTGCAGCGTGGGGGCGACAGGGCGTGCACAGAAGGGCAGGGTCGGGCAGCCAGGTGGCACAGCGGGTTAGAGCCCCCGCCTGCAGCCCCGACCTCCATGGGGGCTGCTCCACTGGCTCTGCAGCTCTCTGCTGTGTCCCGGGGAAGCAGCCAAAGACGGCCCTAGTCCTTGGGCCCCTGCCCTGGTGTGGGAGACTTGGCAGAAGCTCCTGGCTCCTGACTTTGGATCAGCTCAGCTCTGGCCATTGTTGTCATTTGGGGAGTGAACCAAAGACCTCTCTCTCTCTCTCTCAGGCTCGACCTCTCTCTGTAACTCTGTCTTTCAAATAAAATATAATAATTATTAAAAGAAGAAGAACCAGGGCAGTGTCTTTTCCCGTGGGCCACACTAGTTCACTCATCTCTTCCCTGAAAGGTTGCTGGGCCCAAGCCAGCTCTGCCCCGGGGTTTGAGTCATTCAGTTTGTTCTATACCTGTTCTCTCCATCCTTATCCTCTCTACTTGTTTTGTGTGTGTGTGTGTGTGTGTGTGTGTGTGTGTGATTTATTTATTTATTTATTTGAGGGTTATCACTACAGAGAGAGGGAAAGACAGAGAAAAAGGGCTTCCATCTGCTGGTTCACCACCGAAATGGCCTCAATGCCTTCCTCTGGGCTGATCTGAAGCCAGGAGTTTATCCGGGCCTCCCACATGGGTGCAGGGGCCCAAGCCCTTGGGCCATCTTCCACTGCTCTCCTAAGCAATAAGCAGAGAGCTGAATTGGAAGAGCAGCAGCCTGGACATGAACCGTCTGCCACATGGGATCCTGGCCCAACTGACAGAGGCTTCCCCTACAAAGCCACAGCCGGGCCCATCTCCTTCTACTTTAAATCAGATGTGCAGAAATCCTGCCTGAACCCCGTGCTCACATTAATGAGATTGCAGGGATGTGTGGGAAGGATCCCTCCTCCAATAGTGTTGAAAACAACACCTGTGTCTTTTGTGCTTTTTCCACATAAATTCTTAGGTGCTTTTTCTAGTCCTATGAATAATGTGCTTCATATTTTTGTGGGGATTGCCTTGAATTTGTAAATTGCATTGGATAGAGTAGACATTTTCATCATGTTAATTCTTGTAATCCGTGGACATGGATGTCTTTCTAGTGTTTGTGTCTGCTTCAGGTTCTTTCACTGGTGTTTCATAATAGTCATGGTAGAGAAGACATTAAGAAATGGACAAGTAGGAGTACTTTCTACATGACTTGGCAAATGTTTTAATGAGATGTGGGGGCAAAGCATCGAGGCCTGTCTGTGTCTAGCACACAGTAACTGCTCAGTCACATTAGTTCTTACCAGTCCATCACCCTCTGCTCTTTCAGAATCTCCTCATTGCCTTAGACACTGCCCATTTCTTAGAGCATTTGCTCCATGTTTTCCTCTGTTAGTTTCATAGTTTCAGATCTTACATTTAGATCATGATCCATTTTGAGTTGATTTTTGTAAATTAAAATCCAATTTTCCCAGTCCCATTAAAATAGATGTGCATATCTCCAGGGAGTGTTTTTCACACCTTTGTCAAAAGTAAGTGGGATGTAGGTGTGTGAATTTCTAGGGGTTCTCTTTTGTTCCATTGTCCTATGTGTCTATTGTTATGTTGGTACCATACTGTTTTGGTCTCATTAGCCTTGTGGCATATCTTTAATTTTGAACTGTGGTGCCTCCATCTTTGGCTTCATTGTGTTAAGAATATTTTGAGTATTCAGAGCCTTTTGTGTTTTCATAAGAATTTTAAGATTTTTTTCTTATTCTGTGAGGATATCATCAGCATTTTGATGGGGACAACATTGAATTTCTAAATTGTTTTGGGTAGTTTTGATATTTTAATAATATTGATTCTTCCAAATCAAGAATATATGAGGGAATTCCATTATTTTCTGTCTGCTTCATTTTCTTTCATTAGATTCAATGTGTTTGAATTTCATTGAAGAGGACTTTCACATCCTGGTTGAACTTATCACAAGGTATTTAATTTTTTGTATCTGTATAGAATTGGATAGCACTTACCAATTCTCATCAAGATGGTTGAGTATATAAGGCCATTGATTTTGGAATTCCACACTGTGTACCTAATAGAAAATTACGAATCCAGAACACATAAGGAGTGGAAATACTTCCCCTGTCAAGTGGAGGCCTCGCAGCAGGAATGTGGGATTTCTCTGGGTCATGAATGGGGATGTGAATGAGGGGTTGCAGGTGTTTGTTATGTGTGGATGCTGTGTGTGATCCATTCCATCTGTGCTACTCTGACATTAAACACACTGCTTATCTGTCCCCAGTGTGCAGGGGACATTGGGTGACAATGACAGTGACTCTAATTCAGCAAGGGCAAAAATGGAGGCTACAAGGAAGTCATGAATCCAAAAGTTTTCAAGTTGAGATGGGTAAATCCAACAGGACTTCCTGGGATAGGTTTCAGGGCTGAGGACTAATTCTCTGTGACGTGGGGCCATGCCTCTGGGTCTCAGCCTGCATATACTTCCATCTTCATTTGATCCAGTAATCATGCTTTCTTCTCACACTCTTCTGATGTTTGTCCTCTTCCTAGTGTCAGCAGCCTTCTCTTGGTTGTTTTGCGCATACACCTTACCTGAGTCAGTCTGCCAATGCCCCATGCTTGGCTATGACCACTTTACGAGGGTCTGTTCTCATGATCTCAGGCTCCTCAGGAAAATCTTTATTGACCTGATTTCCATTGGTCATTGTGGAGTTTACTTTTTTATCTTTGAAACTAGCAGCATTGCCTTGCAGAAAAGCTGGGTCCACAGAGGTCCAGAATGAATCTCTACTCTCCCTGGCTCCAGGAGACAAAAAGAAGAACATGGATCTCCATACAGAAATGACCTCCATGAGGTCTGACACTCTCTAGCATTGCAGCAGAGGAGAAATCCTGAGGGAGAATTCCAGAGGTAAGGGACTACACAGGACAGGCAGGGCTGTGTTAAATACTAATTCAACTTGTGTGTTCTCTGCTCCCATTCTATCACCCAGTGATTGAAAACAGACAGAGAATACATAATGGGACAATAGAAATGTGGGAAAAGCTGTGTCCAAGGAATGACCCTCACACTTTTGTTTGTTTTTAGCAGCAGAAATAGCAGTGCTTTATCCGAAGTCCACAAAACCCAACAATGCATTCTTGGAAGACAAGAGCATGCTCAGCACAGGGAAGCTGGAGGTCAAAGCTCATGGGGTGGCCCTCCTTCCATCAGGTGCTGTGGTGCTGAAACAACCTCTTAGTCTCTATGGAGCTCAGGTTCCTCATCAGTAAGGTAAAGTGTGTATTGTTCCTCTCTGAAGTCCTGCTGCTTAGGTTCCTCTGAGTCCCTGGGGAACCACACGTGCCCTGGGAACTGAGGCTGAGAGCTGACCTAGTCCCTCCTGTGTCTCCTCCCAGATCCGGAGCTGAGTCCACATCCTGAGAACCCAGAACTGAAGGTGCAGATGAAGGAAGACGAGCAGCTCTCTGGGACGTGAGAATGACCCAGAGAATGATAAGGTAATGTTAGGGTGAAACCAAGTGTGGGTGAGATGAAGGACACATTGTGTCAGAAACCTCAGGGGATACTCAGAAAGGCCTACTCCACTGTCCAGCCCCTGAAGGAGCCGCCTTCCATGAGCACTGACGTCAGGAGAGAAACTGACTCCACAGTGAACCTGTGCACCTGGCCAGGGAGGTCCCTGGATGGAATCAGAGCAGGTTTATGCTGAACACAAGCTTTCCATGCAAACTACAGATCCTGGTAACTTCAGTGTCACCACCAAAAAAAAGAGAGAGAGAGAGAGAAAGCACACCCTTCCTGCCCTCTTCAGCTAGGTACATTTTTCCACCCATACTCAATTCTGCCATGCAACACACAGCAAAAAACATTAAAATGGCAGTGGTGCAGTTCCACAGCCCCAAAGTAAGGATCCCCACGATCCCCACATGGGGCCAAGACCTATGTACATTGTTCACAATGCTTTTGCTTTCTCTGTGCTATAGTGTGAAAGTACAGAACTCAGTAGCTAAAATAATTAATCATTCATCTGAGAAATTGGAAAAGGACCTGAGTAGACATTACTCCATGAAAGGAATACGCATTGCTACCAGGTTTATGACAAGTTGCCCATTATCAGTACTCATCAGGGAAACACCATTCCAAACCATAGAGGGATATCCCCTCAGAACCATAGGGTCAGCTGTTGTCACAAAGACAAGAGAGAATAAATGTGGGCAAGGGTGTACCAAAAAGGAAACACCTTTACATTATGTGTGGGAATGTTGAGTGGTATGGCCGTTATAGAAAACATTATTGAAATATTTTTGAAATGTTAAACTAGAACTGTCAAATGACCCATTCACCCTCCTTATGGGTATATGTGCAAAGAAAGAAGAAACAAAAAACCGTATCAGCATTTAGTAGATATACCTGCAATCCCTAGTCGATGCCTTATTCATAGAGGCCAAGATGCAAACTGCCTACATGTCCATCAACAGAAGGTTGGTTAAGCAATCTTGCTGACTCTACATTTGGCTTGGAAAGTATATTTTAATAAAAGGATACTACAGACTTTCCATGACACTTTGGAATCACTTGAAGCTTTTGAATCACTCTTATACATGTCTGTGTATAGATATTTATATATGTATATTATGTGTAATACTACATTATACATGATAGATACATAATGATACTTAAATATATATATTTATATGATGGAAAGCTATTCAACTCAAAGATAAAGGAACTCCTGTCATTTGTGAGAAACTGGATGAAATTGGAGGACATTATGGTGAGTGAAATAAACCAGATATAGAAATAATAACACTGCAAGTCTGTCATGTGTGGAGTCTGAAAGAAAAAAATGGAAAATGGTTGAATATGTCGAAACAGAGAATATAAGAGAGGTCTTCAAGTTGGTGGAGTGGGAAGAATAGATGTTGACCCAAGAGTACAAAGTAGTAGTTATAGAGAAGAACTAAATCTAGGGTTCTGAAGTTAAGCATGAGAATCTGAGTTATTCGTGGAGCATTCTATTCTCCATTAGAATGAGAAAGTCTGAGAAATTTCTAACAGTAGATTTTGTGGGTTCTTACCATGTGCAGGCACATAAAGGTTAACTGTGAGATGATGAATATTTTATTTACTAGTCTAGAGGAATCATTACACTATGGATATGTACATTACAATATAATTTTTAAATATTTTAATAATTATTTTAAAAGATGTATTATTCTATTTGAAAAGCAGAGTTACAGACAGAGAGGAACACACACACACTGAGAGGGAGAGACCTTGCATCTTCTGTTTCACTCCCCAAGTGCCTACAACAGCCAGGGCTGAGCCAGGCCAAAGCCAGGAGCCCAAAATGCCATCTGGGTATCTCACAAGAGCTCAAGGGCCAAGGACATAAGCCATGTTCCACTGCTTTCCCTGGCACCTCAACAGGGAGCTGGATCAGCTGAAAGTGGAGCCGCTGGGACTCCACCAGCACTCATAGAGGAGACCAGTGTCTCAAGTGGTGGCTTAACCCACTATGCCACAGTGGAGACTCCTACATCTATTTAGACATCAGAATTTAAAATTTCAAAAAAATCCCAGTTTTGATCATCCCCTCAAATGGAAACCTTAAAATGTGCATCTTTTGGGACTGGCATTTCATTCAGCAGTTAACTGGCTTTTGCAATGCTCACATCCTATATTTGAGTGGGGGGTTTGAGTCACCAAAGGGTTTCCTGTCCAGATTCCTGCTAATGTGCACCCTAGGAGGCAGCATGTGATGGATCAAGTATTAGATCTCTTAGTTCTAACGGTACAGTTCAAGAACTTGCCATAGGACCTTAAAATCCCTTAAGCTGCCTGATAAAAAGAGCAGCTTCAGTGTTATAGAGTACATGGATAGGATTAAGTGGTAAAGTGAATATAGAGATAGGATCAAGTGTTAAAGTGATCATATAAATAGGACAAAGTGTTTGGAAACAATAATAGAATTCAAAAGGAGTGAAGAGTCTAATAAGAAAAGTGGTCCATACCGCAGACTCACAGAATGAGTAGCACTGTGAACTCAAAATATCACCTGGTTCCTGGTTTATTCAAAGGGCAAAAAGACAGAGAAAAGAGATCTCCTATTGACTGGTGTGAACCTAGGAGGCCTGAGCTAACCTGGGCCTGGCCAGGCTGAAACTAGGACAGGGTCCATCAGGATCTCCCACATAGACTGCAGTGACACAAGTACTGGAGCCGTCACTGCTGCCTCACCGTGTGTGCACTACCAGGAAGCTGGAGGGGAGAGCAAAGCAAGGACTCGGTCCCAGACACTCTGATCCAGGTGTGGGCACCCCAGGTGACATCTTACTGCTGTGCCAAATGCTTGTGCCAATTTCAACCTCTTAGAAGAAAAAATAGTACAAAGTCTTTCAACTTGAATTAGATTACATTTTTTAGTTATTATACCCAAACTACATGTAATAAAAGAATAAATTCATAAAGGTCCCAATATGTCTAATTGCCTGTTCAAAGTCATTGATAAGAAGATGAATAGACAGGCCAACACAGGGAGAAAACATTTTGAAATTGCATATCTGGTATAACAATTCTTTTCAGAGAACTGAAAGAGCTCTCTCAAAATTTCATTCAGAAAAATGAAATGACACATTTATCAAGGAACGTAAAATTCACCATTTCAAACAGGTAGAAAAGCCTTGAGATCTCTTTAAACAGCAGGTGGGGTGACTTCCTAACAGCCCTGAGAAAGGAAGGCTTGTTGGGACACATTTTCTGTCTTGGTATTTTCATACACATACATGACTATACGAGCGATACATGCTTAGGTGATTTGGGGACACGGTCTGTGGTGTCAGGGCAGGATCTATAACTATGAGACTGGCAGATGGGTAGGTTGTCCCCACCAGTGGGGGTCTTGTGCCTCAACCTAGCTTAGGCCCCTGGAAGGCAGACTTCCAAAGATTCCATGACACGCTCCACCTTCTAATTCTGCGATGGCAACGGCAGACCATTAGCTGCCACACAACAGCCAGTCCTAGCAGAGACTGAGCTACAGGCAGTGCCTTCAATCTAGGCTTTGGCAGTTTTATCCTTGTTTGTCCAGTGAAGAACTTCCCAGTGTCATCGGGCTGTGGATCAGGTGTTTCACATCAGTAAGTGAAGCTGGTTATTGTCACCCCTCAAGCCTACCTGAAACTCTTGGATGTCATTTGTTTGACCCTCGCCTGTGTTTGGGTTTCCTCTCCCCAGTCCCTGTTGTCCTGCTGTGACACACCATCAGCATGGCAGGATCCCACAGCCCTGCATCAGATCCCATGGCAGAACTGAACGACCTCGAATGCCAGCAATTGCGATCCCAGCTGGCAAAGAGCCAACAGGACTGCTGGGAGCTCCAGGAGAAGTTTCTCATAGCTGAGGCTACAAACTTTGCCCTGGCCAGGGAGCTGAAAAAATACAGTAAGTTCTCTCGGGTCATTTCACCACAGTGATGATTGTCCTGTGTCTTCTCCTGAGGAACTAAATGGTTTACCTCACTACGTGATTGTTGTCTTCTTTTTGCTGAACTTAATTTCCCCCTGACCACACTCCCAAGCTGACACACAGGGTTTCGCAAGTTTTCCAAGGTAGCAGTGAGGTGTAGGGTGACAGGACTGCTGAATCTGTCATGGAGTCCTGATGAGGCATAGAGCTGCCTGTTGTCCTCAGGGTCAGGCTCCACCATATTGAGTGCATGTTTATGATCATCCTGTCTGTGTCAGCTCCTGCAGCCTTATACCATCACTGTGGGCCTCATTTCTGGGGCTAACGCATTTCACTCAATTCAAGCTTCCAGTGAGTTCCCATTGGCAAAGCACTGTCCTAGGTCCAGAAGTGGACATGTGTTCAGAGTGAGCAGGATGTGCTTCCAGAGAGACAGAGAGTCTCCTGTGCACTGGAACTCTGGTATCCATGGGAACACCCTCACAACACAGCCTCCCCACTGGGAGAAAGTCCTGCTCCTGGAGCACAAGTTCTTCTCCCAGAAGAGGAAGACGCTGCCTGAGACCTGGGAGTGGGAGCACAGGGTGTAGGGGGGGAATCAGGGCCACTCGCCTGGGTGCTCCCCATTGCCCACCTTCTCTGTAACTTTGATTTCTCTCCCATTCATAGGTGCTATCATAATTCCTGCCTCTGTAGATTGTCACAACCAAATGCGCTCCTTCTTTCCTATACAACTCCAAGGATGGTTCCTTGCTCAGGATCAACAGAATCCATGAGGCCCTTATTGCACTGTTTCTAATTTAGCAGGGAACTATACTTTTTCTTGGGCCATATTGCCTCAGGGCCTTACTTTGTTATACATTGTACTCTACACAGTTCCATGAAAGATGGTCCCTTAAGTCTGAAATAACAAACACTTGGAATCTTTCCAAATGCAAGGAAACAGTCCTACACCCTTATCAAGCTCCCAAACATACAGAAGGTGATGACTTCGTGCCCCAGGTTCCTGTTTGACCTGAGAGGCTGCAAGACTTGCTGAGTCCAGTGGCTCATGATTCAGTCTGAGCTCAGGGGCTGGGAACTCTGATTCTGTAAACACCAGTGGAATCACATTGTCAAGTCACCTTCTGTATCTTTGAAGTCCTTTTTTCCTCATTTTATTGGGAAATAGCAGGGTCAGGCCTGTGGCTTAGCAGATAAAGCTGCTGCCTGCAGTGCTGGCATCCCATATGGGTACTAGTTCAATTCTGGCTGGTCCACTACCAATCCAGCTCTCTGCTATGGCCTAAAAGACAGTAGAAGATAACCAACATGCTTAGGCCCCTGCATCCACATGGGAGACCTAGAAACAGCTCTTGGCTCCTGGCTTCAGATTGGCACAGCTCCAACCTTGCAGCCATTTGGGGAGTGAACCAGCTGATGGAGTCTCTCTCTCTCTCTCTCTCTCTCTCTCTCTGCCTATGTCTTTCTGTAACTCTGCCTTTCAAATAAATAAATAAATCTTTAAAAATAGGAAATTTCAGATGCTATGTAGTGAGGTGATGAAATACAGATGTGAAACCCCCAATCTGGAGCCTGGCCCTGGAGTTCTTTTGGTCTTCAGCAGGCACTGACTACAAAAGCACCTCCCTGAGTTCTGCGTGTCTGTCTTTCCCCAGATTGTGAGAAGTTTAAAAACATCATTGAGTCCATACTGACCAAGAAGCTCCACTTGGAGGAGCCGCTGGCAGAGAAGCCCACGGTCCCAGAGCTGCTCAGGTAAGGGTCTCTGTGGGGGGCAGGCAGGTGGGAGGTGTGTGGGTGTCTCCGGTGGGGCAGCTCAGAAGGGAGAACTGAGGCATCTCAGGCATGGAAAGCCAAAGGCACTGTGGCAAACAATGTTCTCCATGTAGGATCACTCTGGGGACCCCAGACAAAGAAGTGGCCATCAAAGGAGGATGCACTTTTCTCTAAGGGAGGAGAGAACTTCCACTTTGCTGATGGCCTTGTCTAAATACAGACAGAGTTTTCAAAATGCTTCCATAGCCTAGTCAGCTCATGTCATGAGCCTTGTGTGGTCCCTGACAACATACAGAGGAGTGCTAATTGTTCAATTAACAGCAGGAGTCACTGTGCACTGACTCCCCATGCAGGACCTCTGTCTCAATGAGTTGTATTAAAAGAGAGTTACAGTGAACCATTTCTCAAACAGTTTTTATTCTTGTGTGGGTGTGTGTGGCAATTGTTGAAATCGTTACTTAATATAGAGTTGGTCTTCTGTCTACAAAGTTCATTGAAAATGCATCTTAATGGAGAATGAGATTGAGAAGTAGAGAGGGAAGAGGAGCTGGGCTGGGAGTGTGGGTGGTACCCTGGGTATGGGGAGAAGAATAACTATATTCCTATAGTGTCTCATGAAATGTATATTCCTTAAAATAAATGAATGAATAAATTTTTAGAAAGAAATGTTAAAAATTAATTTTACAATGAAAGTAAAAGTGAATAGGGACTTTGAAAAAATTCTCCCTTCAGGAGAAATTAAAATGATTTTTTTCCCTCTTCAATTACTGTTTATTTCCCTAATAAAATGGTATGCATAGATAATAATAATAAAAAAAGACATCATGGAGTCCATGTTGACCAAGAAGCTACACGGGGAGGCCCCTGCCAAAGCAGCCCAGGTCTGCTGAGCTGCTCAGGTAAGGCTCTCTGTGTAGGGCAGGCAGGTGGGGATGTGTTTCACTAGTGGGCAGCCCAAATCAAAAACTGAGCCAGCCTGTGCCAAACAAGGGCAGAGAGTTACAGCAAAGCCCCGTGTCTCAGATGTTATGAAACAAGGAGGGAGCAGAGGAATCTGAATTCAGAGCTGCAAGTGCGGAGAGTCTGTAAGTAAGGTGTCCAGGTGGATGGGCTCCCATGGGTCCCTCCTGTTTACTCTCTCTTCTGCAACAGGAAATCCCCGTGGCTGTGTTTCTGGGAATCCAGTCACCAGTTAGCTTTGGTCCTCTGTAGGTGGTGCTATGCCTGTTCTCTCTTCCTCCCATGTTCTCATGGTTCCCTTAGTGTGGAGGTGCTTTTCTGTGGGCACTCAACTCAAGAATGGAGCTGCATTGGGTCTTCTCAGGGGGAGGAGCAGGGGATGCTGGGCTCCTCTGTTTGGTCACCTTGCAATCAATCCTCATTTACCCTTAGTCACCATCACCTCCTGATATAGAAGACTGATGCTCAGCTTGGCCCTGCCAGACCTTCATTCTTGTTTCTTGCCATGTAACCCCTGCATGCACCAGGATTCCCAGTCACTGCACTGTACACTGTGTGTCTTCCTACATGGAAATGCCTGTGGCTGGAAGGAGGAACTGAATTAGCACCTTTATGAAGGAGAGGAAGGAAGAATCCTTGCACTGTTGATAGATAACAACCCTAATAGAATCTCAGGAATTGTGACAAGATCTTTCTCTAAAAGTGGGAGCAAGACCTTGTGTTGCCCTTTGCTTTTCTTGGCACAGGTATTTCTCCAAACCTGAGTGGTGATGCTGGTGGAGGGCTCTATAAGGCATTGTTATGAAAATCTGTTGAAACACAGAGAGCCTAACACTCATCCCTTCCCATCTAGAACTTTCTCCACGCTTGCACCTTAGGCATTGCCGTGGCATCCTTGAAGATCAGGACCAAGAACTCTCCCAGTTACGTCCAAAGGTCCAAAGGGGGAGAAATCTAGCCCACATCCTGCAGCAGTACCTGAAGGACGTGCTCACCGTGCATGACCCTGAGACCTGTACGGGGCAGGGCTTCCGACGACTGCTCACTGAGGCTGTCCGGCTGTCAGCGAGCCTTGAGGACCTGCTTGGAGCAGGTAAGCTGGGCACAGGCTGTCATGTGAGAAGCCTCAGGGGTTCCGATGCATTCATCCCTCTGCCATGGGCATTTGCCTCAGCTCTTCCTGGTACTGAACATGTGTGCCATGACAAGGTCAGCTCTGCTTGGGAAAAACAGATAGGGGCAGAGAAGTCTTTCAAGTTTGCAGTATCCCAAAGGTCTCCTCTCTTCCTGATTGTGGTTGGCCTTTGGGGCAAGAGGCAGGGTCCATCCTCATATCAACACCAGAAAGACCTTGTGAAATGCAGCCGCTGTTAGGCTGAACAAAGTCACTGAGCTAAGTTGAATGGAAGCCTCCAGCTCTGTGATCAGTGTGGTTTTCAAATGGTAGACAGCTGATTGCTTTCTCCATCCAGGATTTCTCTCTCCTCATTCACTAAATGGACCAAAAAATCTGGGGCAGAGCAGATGTAACCATCAAAGGTGGAAGCTGTTGCTTGTATGTTTCCCAATAGGACAAAGGCCCTCCTCTCCCTGGGAGTGCCAGACCAGGCACTAGAGTTAGTAGAACTTAAGTGAGGAAAGCTGTTGAGAAGGGAACTCGTAACACAGAGAGAATTTCCTCTAATGATACTGCAGAGAAAACGTGGAGGGCCTGTGAGGGAGGGATGGAAGTCGGGTTCTTTGCTTCTTCATGACAGATGGAGGTTCTCTGTGAGACCCATGGGAACATAGAACCCATGCCTTGGACTCCCACTAGTGGCAGGATGAGGGATAACAGGCAGAAGTCCCAGGGAAGCTTGAGAAGCTTCTAGTGTTATGGGAGCAAAGGATGTTGGCCTACTTTCAGGCAAAACCTGCCATGGTTCTGATCTCCAAGTGCAGAAACACAAAGCCTGATAGACCACAAGAGAATGGCAAGGTGCTTCTTTAAACACAGAATATTTGAAGTTTTTGTCCACTATTGGCCCATATGTAGATATTCATATGCACACAGAGGCCCCCTTGATTGTAGTGGGGTAGGGGGTTATAATATCTGATTGGACATTTCTGAATTTGTTTACAGAAAATATTGAAGAGGAGGAAACACCAGCACAAGGACCTGTTGCTGACAGGTAATAGTGAATGATTAGGAGCTGGCAACAAATGGGTGAAGGATGCACAGGGTCTCCTAAAGAACAGAAAAGGGGCCAACACAGTCATGGAGTTGAGACGCACGCAGAAACACAACTACAGATTGTGTTGAGTCCTTCCTGGCCAACTAGGAAATCCCCCTGTTAAAGTAGGTGTCTGTTGTCCTGGTCCAAGTTGCTAATAGGATCCATCATGAACTCACAGCCTTAGGTGTTGCCTGCACACAAAGTTCCGGAACCCCTGTTCTCTGCTTTCTGGAAAAGCGAGGAAGATGGGCATCTGCTTTCTACAGAGTTAGCTGAAGTTCTCATCAGAGAAAACTAGCGACGAGGCAATGTGCAAAGGGAGCAGTTAGGAAGAATCCAGCCAGGTTAAACTGCAGAAAAGCACCTCTACAAAACCATGTTTGCTGTCCTGTGACTTGGTTAAGAGAAGGCCCAGAAGGTAGCACATCTCTAGAATCTGCCAAGCCCCTAGAACCTTGATCACATGGCTGCAGGACACTGCAACAACCCAACCTGAGCACAGGGTGTCAGCCCGCATGACTGTCAATGTGTGCTTGTGCTGTGACTGTGCCATGCAGCGACAGTGGAGGCTGCTTCCTCATTAGCTGCTGTGTATTGAGTGTGATGAGCAGAGGCTGATCTCTTCCCAGGCCCTCTCCCCCTAGGCAGCCACACAGTGTCCAGAGTGGAGGGAACCACCTCTATGCTGTCTATGACCGATCCCTTAAGCACCCCATCCAAACCAGCCAACTCCCTGGTGTCTCTTCCTTCTTGGTTTCATCTCTGTCATCCTTATCCCACCTGGCTTCTCAGGGAGCTCTTGGAAGTGGATGAAATGGAAACCCCACAAAGTTCACAGCAGGAAACATCTATCACTGGTGCTGCTGACCACCTGCCGAGTGGCTCCTGCCTGCCTGAGGGCACTGTGCAACTGTCTCGTGATGCTGAGGACACCCACGGTGTGCTAGGTGTAGATGGGGAACACGCTTGTTCACACAAGAAAGAAGAACCTGTCACCGTTCTCCCAGGTAGCCTCTCCATTCTTTGTACACAATGACTCTCAGGTGGAGGGTTGCTTTTGAGCACAGGCCCTGCAGACACAAGTTGGTTTCAGTCAGGGTCCAGGTTGTGGCACTGAACATAGACATCAGGAGAGTCAAGGATCTTCCCTCCCCTCAGAGGCTGTTTGTCTCACTGCACCCTAGCCTATGGGAACATACAGAGGCCCTGTGTAGGAAGTGCCTTTCAGACACTCTAACTTAGAAATAATGCCTGCTGTCACCTGCAGTGATATCATTCTGTTCTACTACTGCATCCCTGGAGTTCTAGCCCCATGCAGGCTTTTGGTAACACTTCCCATGTGTGGGCCAAGTTGTGATCCTAGTTTCCCTACTTCCATCCCTAGTCTCTGTCTCCTTTAAGACAGCTTATCTTAGCTATGCAATCATCTGAAAAACAAGACATAAAGTCTTTTATACTGTACTTCTAGTACAGTTCAAAAAACATAGCTGAATCCAGGAATGTCCCTACAAAATCAGTGTTCAAAGTTTCTCTATAACTGCATAGATTTATTTATGCGAGGTGTTATGGAGTTCATTCAGCCTTCTATAGAAACTCCTCTACCCTTATTCACCATGATCAGTCTGATAGGATGTCAGTACTATAGCAACACTGCTAGATTTTAGATACATAAATCCTAAAGGGCCTGGGGAGAGAGCTCTTGAATTGCTTGTATTGTTCCCATAGACAAGAGGGAGATTATTCATGAGCAACTCTTAGAATAGCCAAGATTCTGTGTGGCATCAAACAGGTTTCAATTCCAGGGCATGCAGACTCCATGCATAGCTCTCTCCCAGTGTTCTACCTCCTCTCCACAGTCAGCAACCTGGGTCCTTTAATGAGAGCAGCCTGACAACTGCAGTTTGCCTCCTAGGAAGTTCTTGGGCTGTGAGCTTAGAATCCCTGAGGACCATTGCAGGCTGTTTCTAAGGGTTCTGGACAGAGGTTATTGAGATGGTGATCCAACTGTGAACAGGGAGATTTGACCCCTTGCCCAGGATGGCTCACCAAGCCCATCTCCTGATGTCGACTTAGTCCTCCTGGAGGATTTCTGTCACAGTCTCCTGTTCTCACACGAGAACAATCTGTCCTCTTGGTAGTAGTGGCCATTGGATACCAATATCTGACCCAAAACCTGCTTAACATGGTCAATCTCTCTGAATTTGTTTGCAGAAAATCAATATCATGAAGTGGAGGTACAAGAGCAAGTTGTCACATGCACTTCCAGGTAACTCGGAGGCAGAGCAGACAGTGTAGCATGGACTACTAGGGAATCGAAATGCTGGAGAAACTGGTGACTAGAGCTAGTTGGAACATTCAGCCAATGATGAAATGGCTCTGTTCCTAACGTTCCCTTTTGCATTGTTTCCCTCTATATTCCCCCTTTGAACATCCCTCACATATTTTAACCTGTAGTCTGATGACAAAGTCACTTCTGTACCTGTGATGCGTGTCTTCAGTGTCTCTGTCCTCCCGTCTCAGCAGGGAGCTCCCAGAGGAGCAAGAGCAGGAAGACCCAGATGATTCGCTGGACGAGTGCTACCTCACTCCCTCGATTTCTCCAGTCGTTTCTGAGCTTGACCATTCCACGTGGAGCAGCTGGTGCTCCCTGGAGCATCAGGACATGCTCTCTGCTCCAGATGCAAACGGTGAGTCCCCCACTGTGAGGTGATACAACCCCCTCTGCTTGCCAAGGAGCCCGCACTATCCTTGCACTCATCACTCCCACCTGACTGAGAGGGCTCCTGGACATGGGATGGTCTGAGACGTTTTCAGCATCTGTGCTTTTTCAACCAGTCTGTTGCACAGGTGTGGTTGGCCCATCCAGCCTTGCTGTCCTCCCATTCCTTGTGTGGCTTTGTCACTCAGATTCCAGTGCTCAGTCATTGCCAGAAGAATGTCACAGATGCACACCCACCTAAGCAGCACATCTCATGCTTGTCTCTGCCGTCTGTTCTTAATGAAGCAGACCCCTCTGCCCCCTGCAGTGTTGATCACAGGAGTCATTCCCCGTCCCTGTCATGTGACATTGTTTCCTGTCAGAGCCAGCAGCATGCTCGTCTTCATTGCAGTCAAGATACTCCCCCTGTTTCATTGAACCCAACCACGTTGTCTGTCCCTTCAACGTTGGCATCATTTCACCTACCACACGTACAGAATGTTCTGCCATTCCTTTAGTGTGTCCCCAGGCTGCAGGTCTGAGACCTATGCTTAGAGATTCCATGAGTAGCCAAGTTTTCTCTTGTGCTGCACACATTCACTCTGATACCCAGAACTGAAAATTCACCTGTTCCACCTTTTATCTTATCCTCAATGTACAAAATATGGTAACCACAAACTACCAAGATAGCTTGTTTGAGAAGCATGGGCACTGCACTTCTTCTCATGGAAAGGAATCACACTAGGAACCAAGCGTCTCCAGAGAATATTATTTTGGATTTGATTTTATCTTATGAAAGCCAGAATTAGAGAGAGAAACAGGGAGAGAGAGAGAGAGAGAGAGAGAGAGGCAACTCTTGCATAATCTGGTCTGCTCCCCACATGGCCACAATGGCATCGACTGGACCAGGCCCAGGGAGGAACTAGGAGTTTCCTCCAGGTCTCCTATGTGGCTGCAGGGCCCAAGTACTGAACCATCTTCTACTGCATTCCCAGGTACATTGGAGGGATCTGGATCAGAAGTAGAACAGCCAGGACTTGAACTGGCATTCACATGGGATCCTGGGGTTAAAGGCAGCAGCTTTACCTGCTATGCCTCAGCACCCACACTTGGGAAAATTTGTTTCATTTGTGTAGGGAATCAGGTCAGCGATTATTGGTGTGATGGCTGGAGGAATAGGGAGGTTTACCTCATGTGTCAAGAAAAATGAACAAGCTAGTTCCCTCAGAAATGACCTCCACCCTCTAGACAATTCCTATCTGAGGAGTCGGCAGTGACACTGAGGATACTGGTGTGCTGTGCTAGTGCTGGACAGCGCATTGTACAGGCTTTGAGGGGATCATCCTAGATGACTGTGCCTATTTGAATTCATTTGCAGAAAAGGAACATGACAATGATGAAGTGCAAGAGGAAACACAAGCCCTGTCACACAACAGGTGAGTCTTAGGAACCCTGGGCAGTGAGCTTAGTGCTGACACGGGCAGACTCCAGGTCCAGAGAAGAAGAGCAGTGCCACTGTGCATCTCCCATCCATTGAGGCAACCCAGCGGTACCCCGTCAGCACTGCTGTCTGCCATCATTAGGGTACTAGTCTGGGTTTCCACTTCTCCCTACCTTTTCCATGTAGTGACCTGCAGCAGGCTGACTCCATGAAGGAGCCTCTCCAGGGATTCCTTGCCATCATTGCCTCTCTTGTGTGCAGTGAAGGGCAGGGTGCTGCTCACAGGTCTCCTCTTCTCATGAGCTTCTCTGCCCCCCATTAATCACATGAAACCACCCAACAGAAACTAGTGCCTCAGCACTGAGAATAAGACTGATGGCCAAAGCCGTGATAGTCTCCAGTATCCCAAAGGGGGAATTCATTGACTCTGCATGTAATTTACATAAATCTGTTGAAGCCAGTTTTTGTTTTCCAAATACTCATGGGTACTAGTGGACCAACTGAGAGTCATTTCTCCAGGCTGAGTCCTTAATAACCTCATCACAGAGGAAATGCTCTGTTTCTCTCTGCTTCTGTCTCCATATCCTTTCAATATCTCTGCTACTCACCTATCACCTCAAACCTAATACTCTTTCTCCAAGAAGATGAGAGTTCTGTTTGCCTGTTTACTTTTCATTGACTTCAAGTAGTACAAATAAGCATAAAGAAGTCTACAAGCACATAGATCTAATAACATTTAATATTTGGCTGTAGTTGATTCATGTGTAAATATTATATATCTACACACACATACTATTCTCAGTGAAGGCGGTGGGGTTTCTGTTTTAACTTGCTTTCTGTTTGCCACATGCTTCCTATGAGCACTTCATGTTTCCTCACATGAAAGCTGCCCTGTGTTAACGTTCAGTTCGTCTACTCCAGGTGGTCAGCAAGGACCCTCCTCAAATGGAAGACATTGCATCCTGTCTGCTCCATTAGTAGCCAGTCTTCCTCAGATAGGGACAAAGTTGTGGGTGGCCCATTGCTCAGCCCAGCCACTTCTGGAAGCTGCCTCTTTGGAACTGCTTGGAAAGGGGCTTTCTGTTCCCTTTCTGTTTCTCACCCACCTTTCCCTCCCTCCAGTCTCATCAGGGAGATTCCAGAGATTGAAGATCAAGATGTCTCACAAGACTCTCATGGTACGTGTTTGACTCCTGCACTTCTTCCGGAAGCTTCTGACTGGTCCCATTCTAGGAGCACCTGGTCCTCACTGGAGAAACAGCCTGTCTGCTCTGCTCTTGTTGGAGATAGTGAGTGCTCCATTGTGAACAGGAACACTCCACTGTTCTCCCAGGTGTCCTCTGTAGTCTTGGGTTGCTGCACCTGTGTTGGGTGAGACAGACCACTGTGCACTCAGGCCCTGGGGACTTATCTCAGACTGGATGTGGCTCTTGGGTGGAGTTTGTTCATAGTCATCCAATGGGGGAATCCCTTGGCTGTCACCAGGCCCACTTTCAAGGTGCAGCTTTTGACTCAAGACAGGGAAGGAGGGGATGGGAAGGCAGGATGGCAAACACCGAGCCACCACCATCTCTCTTGGAGAGGCTTCTTGAACAAGTCACTGTGGTGTTCTTAATTTTAACAACAGTTTCAATTTTGAACAGCATCCTCCAAACTTCTCAGGCTTAAAGCTTTGGCAGGCTGTACAATGTTTCCTTAGTTATCTGATACTAGGTATCCTTGGTCGGCAGACTCTGTTTTCTCTGAAGCAGCTTGGTGCTAACCACAGCAGTCCAGTCCCGCACCTGTGTCCATGGTGTGGTTTTCATCTTCTGCTTAACAGCACTGATTTGTGCTCATATGAGGTCTGTACTTTTAATCCAGTGTCTAAACTCGGCATTTTTTTCTCATGCAAAGCCTCCATAATCTTGCACCAAGACAGGAATCTATTCAGTATCTGAGTGAGGCTGAGGGGTCCCTCACGTCATCACAGGCAGAGTGCCTCTTGCTGAGTAGGAGCCCTAGAGTATGGCTTCATGGGGAGGGGCAGAGAAAAAGTCCAATTTCCTTGGATCTGAGCTTCAGTGAGGTTTTACACTTTCTCTCAGGAGGGTTTGAGGCACCTTCACTCATCAAATCATTCAGTAGGAAAATCACGAAATCCTGATGCCCTTCCCTGTTTCTCAATGTTCTGCAGTAGAATTGACAATGACAGTTGTCCCCCCAGTGCTATAGATCAGCAGGCACCTTTTCTTGGTGAGACCATGCGCTTTTCCTCTGTACAGAGGTACAGAGATGTGCAGAGTCATCCCAGGTCACAGCGATTCACACCCAGCTATAAAGGCCAATCTCATGGGCATCTGTGCTGTGCTAGACCCTGTGCTGTCCTGATCCAAGCAACCCTCACTGGACCTCTCCTGGTGGAGATTCTGTCCCCACCTTGGGGAGAGGATCCTGAGGCTCAACAAGGTCACTCTCCCAGGTCACCCCACCTTGTGTGCATTGCAATCAGAGACCACTCCTTTGCCTGGCCCTTGTCTGTAGGCTCAGTCCACTTGTTTTCAGCACACATGCCAGCGATGTGGCTGCTATGGGTATTCATACTTAAAACTTTTCTTCTGTAACAAATTGTGTTGAGAGAATTTCAAATATCAGTAGAAAAGTTCCGGTCTGCAAACAAGAACTTCTAAAGGCCCTGCACAACATCTCCCACTAGGAAGGGATTGGTGTGCTTCGTCCCTGAGCAGGGTCCGCACCTCATTGAGGTTCTCAGATAGAACTCCAGCTCAGCATTGCCCAATGGCCTGAAAGTTCCTGGTCTCTCCCCTCGGAATTTTTGCACTCAGGGTCCCAGTGAGGCATGCCCATCTGCATTTCTGTTGAAAGTGGTTGCTGTTTCACAGAACAGAGTGCCCTGGATGAACGTTTCTAGGCTCCAGTTGTGCCTGGGATGTCTGACTGCAAGCATACAGGAGCTGCTTATGCTCAGAAAGCCAGAGCAGATTGGTGGGCAGTTTATGTACAGAATGATCCCTTTTGAGAGCAGGTAAACCTTCATCTCTGCCCCTGCTGACTGCTCTGTCCTTGTACTCCTATCCCCACTGAGGATGAGTGAAGTCATTGCTACGTGCCAGACCTACAGACTTGTGGTTGTAGACTCAAAATCCTGAATTGAGCTGTAAGCAGGAGTTAGAATTCATGATTGTTCATTTGTTATGGAACAGAGCTGTGACCATTTCACAGCAAGCTCAGCAGCATGTGCCCCGGTGGTGTTTGCTCCCTCCTGGTGGGAACCTTGGAGGATGACTGTCGCCACTTGCTTACTTTTTCTTCAATCCCAAACCTCAGCTCCGCCCTTTGACATCCATGCTTGTCCAGGCCACAGCATCCATATAGGCATCTCTGTCATTCATATTCTCAATGGCGTTTCCATTTGAAGATGGATAGACTAGGAAAGAGTTCATCCAGAAATACATGCTCTTGAATTGTTTGTATTGTTCCCATAGACAAGAGGGAGATTATTCATGAACAACTCTTAGAATAGCCAAGATTCTGTGTGGCATCAAACAGGTTTCAATTCCAGGGCATGCAGACTCCATGCATAGCTCTCTCCCAGTGTTCTACCTCCTCTCCACAGTTAGCAACCTGGGTCCTTTAATGAGAGCAGCCTGATGACTGCAGTTTGCCTCCTAGAAAGTTCTTGGGCTATGAGCTTAGAATCCCTGAGGACCATTGCAGGCTGTTTCTAAGGGTTCTGGGCAGAGGTTATTGAGATGCTGATCCAACTGTGAACAGGGAGATTTGACCCCTTGCCCAGGATGGCTCACCAAGCCCATCTCCTGATGTCGACTTAGTCCTCCTGGAGGATTTCTGTCACAGTCTCCTGTTCTCACACGAGAGCAATCTGTCCCCTTGTAGTAGTGGCCATCGGATACTCATATCAGACCCAAAACCTGCTTAACCTGGTCATTCTATCTGAATTTGTTTGCAGAAAATCAATATCATGGAGTGGAGGTACAAGAGCAAGTTGTGAGATACACATCCAGGTAACTCGGAGGCAGAGCAGACAGTGTAGCATGGACTACTAGGGAATTAGAAGCCAGTCCACCCCAGATAGGGACAAGGTTGTGGGTGGCCCATTGCTCAGCCCAGCCACTTCTGGAAGCTGCCTCTTTGGAACTGCTTGGAAAGGGGCTTTCTGTTCCCTTTCTGTTTCTCACCCACCTTTCCCTCCCTCCAGTCTCATCAGGGAGATTCCAGAGATTGAAGATCAAGATGTCTCACAAGACTCTCATGGTACGTGTTTGACTCCTGCACTTCTTCCGGAAGCTTCTGACTGGTCCCATTCTAGGAGCACCTGGTCCTCACTGGAGAAACAGCCTGTCTGCTCTGCTCTTGTAGACAGTGAGTGCTCCATTGTGAATGGGAACACTCCACTGTTCTCCCAGGTGTCCTCTGTAGTCTTGGGTTGCTGCACCTGTGTTGGGTGAGACAGACCACTGTGCACTCAGGCCCTGGGGACTTATCTCAGACTGGATGTGGCTCTTGGGTGGAGTTTGTTCATAGTCATCCAATGGGGGAATCCCTTGGCTGTCACCAGGCCCACTTTCAAGGTGCAGCTTTTGACTCAAGACAGGGAAGGAGGGGATGGGAAGGCAGGATGGCAAACACCGAGCCACCACCATCTCTCTTGGAGAGGCTTCTTGAACAAGTCACTGTGGTGTTCTTAATTTTAACAACAGTTTCAATTTTGAACAGCATCCTCCAAACTTCTCAGGCTTAAAGCTTTGGCAGGCTGTACAATGTTTCCTTAGTTATCTGATACTAGGTATCCTTGGTCGGCAGACTCTGTTTTCTCTGAAGCAGCTTGGTGCTAACCACAGCAGTCCAGTCCCGCACCTGTGTCCATGGTGTGGTTTTCATCTTCTGCTTAACAGCACTGATTTGTGCTCATATGAGGTCTGTACTTTTAATCCAGTGTCTAAACTCGGCATTTTTTTCTCATGCAAAGCCTCCATAATCTTGCACCAAGACAGGAATCTATTCAGTATCTGAGTGAGGCTGAGGGGTCCCTCACGTCATCACAGGCAGAGTGCCTCTTGCTGAGTAGGAGCCCTAGAGTATGGCTTCATGGGGAGGGGCAGAGAAAAAGTCCAATTTCCTTGGATCTGAGCTTCAGTGAGGTTTTACACTTTCTCTCAGGAGGGTTTGAGGCACCTTCACTCATCAAATCATTCAGTAGGAAAATCACGAAATCCTGATGCCCTTCCCTGTTTCTCAATGTTCTGCAGTAGAATTGACAATGACAGTTGTCCCCCCAGTGCTATAGATCAGCAGGCACCTTTTCTTGGTGAGACCATGCGCTTTTCCTCTGTACAGAGGTACAGAGATGTGCAGAGTCATCCCAGGTCACAGCGATTCACACCCAGCTATAAAGGCCAATCTCATGGGCATCTGTGCTGTGCTAGACCCTGTGCTGTCCTGATCCAAGCAACCCTCACTGGACCTCTCCTGGTGGAGATTCTGTCCCCACCTTGGGGAGAGGATCCTGAGGCTCAACAAGGTCACTCTCCCAGGTCACCCCACCTTGTGTGCATTGCAATCAGAGACCACTCCTTTGCCTGGCCCTTGTCTGTAGGCTCAGTCCACTTGTTTTCAGCACACATGCCAGCGATGTGGCTGCTATGGGTATTCATACTTAAAACTTTTCTTCTGTAACAAATTGTGTTGAGAGAATTTCAAATATCAGTAGAAAAGTTCCGGTCTGCAAACAAGAACTTCTAAAGGCCCTGCACAACATCTCCCACTAGGAAGGGATTGGTGTGCTTCGTCCCTGAGCAGGGTCCGCACCTCATTGAGGTTCTCAGATAGAACTCCAGCTCAGCATTGCCCAATGGCCTGAAAGTTCCTGGTCTCTCCCCTCGGAATTTTTGCACTCAGGGTCCCAGTGAGGCATGCCCATCTGCATTTCTGTTGAAAGTGGTTGCTGTTTCACAGAACAGAGTGCCCTGGATGAACGTTTCTAGGCTCCAGTTGTGCCTGGGATGTCTGACTGCAAGCATACAGGAGCTGCTTATGCTCAGAAAGCCAGAGCAGATTGGTGGGCAGTTTATGTACAGAATGATCCCTTTTGAGAGCAGGTAAACCTTCATCTCTGCCCCTGCTGACTGCTCTGTCCTTGTACTCCTATCCCCACTGAGGATGAGTGAAGTCATTGCTACGTGCCAGACCTACAGACTTGTGGTTGTAGACTCAAAATCCTGAATTGAGCTGTAAGCAGGAGTTAGAATTCATGATTGTTCATTTGTTATGGAACAGAGCTGTGACCATTTCACAGCAAGCTCAGCAGCATGTGCCCCGGTGGTGTTTGCTCCCTCCTGGTGGGAACCTTGGAGGATGACTGTCGCCACTTGCTTACTTTTTCTTCAATCCCAAACCTCAGCTCCGCCCTTTGACATCCATGCTTGTCCAGGCCACAGCATCCATATAGGCATCTCTGTCATTCATATTCTCAATGGCGTTTCCATTTGAAGATGGATAGACTAGGAAAGAGTTCATCCAGAAATACATGCTCTTGAATTGTTTGTATTGTTCCCATAGACAAGAGGGAGATTATTCATGAACAACTCTTAGAATAGCCAAGATTCTGTGTGGCATCAAACAGGTTTCAATTCCAGGGCATGCAGACTCCATGCATAGCTCTCTCCCAGTGTTCTACCTCCTCTCCACAGTTAGCAACCTGGGTCCTTTAATGAGAGCAGCCTGATGACTGCAGTTTGCCTCCTAGAAAGTTCTTGGGCTATGAGCTTAGAATCCCTGAGGACCATTGCAGGCTGTTTCTAAGGGTTCTGGGCAGAGGTTATTGAGATGCTGATCCAACTGTGAACAGGGAGATTTGACCCCTTGCCCAGGATGGCTCACCAAGCCCATCTCCTGATGTCGACTTAGTCCTCCTGGAGGATTTCTGTCACAGTCTCCTGTTCTCACACGAGAGCAATCTGTCCCCTTGTAGTAGTGGCCATCGGATACTCATATCAGACCCAAAACCTGCTTAACCTGGTCATTCTATCTGAATTTGTTTGCAGAAAATCAATATCATGGAGTGGAGGTACAAGAGCAAGTTGTGAGATACACATCCAGGTAACTCGGAGGCAGAGCAGACAGTGTAGCATGGACTACTAGGGAATTAGAAGCCAGTCCACCCCAGATAGGGACAAGGTTGTGGGTGGCCCATTGCTCAGCCCAGCCACTTCTGGAAGCTGCCTCTTTGGAACTGCTTGGAAAGGGGCTTTCTGTTCCCTTTCTGTTTCTCACCCACCTTTCCCTCCCTCCAGTCTCATCAGGGAGATTCCAGAGATTGAAGATCAAGATGTCTCACAAGACTCTCATGGTACGTGTTTGACTCCTGCACTTCTTCCGGAAGCTTCTGACTGGTCCCATTCTAGGAGCACCTGGTCCTCACTGGAGAAACAGCCTGTCTGCTCTGCTCTTGTAGACAGTGAGTGCTCCATTGTGAATGGGAACACTCCACTGTTCTCCCAGGTGTCCTCTGTAGTCTTGGGTTGCTGCACCTGTGTTGGGTGAGACAGACCACTGTGCACTCAGGCCCTGGGGACTTATCTCAGACTGGATGTGGCTCTTGGGTGGAGTTTGTTCATAGTCATCCAATGGGGGAATCCCTTGGCTGTCACCAGGCCCACTTTCAAGGTGCAGCTTTTGACTCAAGACAGGGAAGGAGGGGATGGGAAGGCAGGATGGCAAACACCGAGCCACCACCATCTCTCTTGGAGAGGCTTCTTGAACAAGTCACTGTGGTGTTCTTAATTTTAACAACAGTTTCAATTTTGAACAGCATCCTCCAAACTTCTCAGGCTTAAAGCTTTGGCAGGCTGTACAATGTTTCCTTAGTTATCTGATACTAGGTATCCTTGGTCGGCAGACTCTGTTTTCTCTGAAGCAGCTTGGTGCTAACCACAGCAGTCCAGTCCCGCACCTGTGTCCATGGTGTGGTTTTCATCTTCTGCTTAACAGCACTGATTTGTGCTCATATGAGGTCTGTACTTTTAATCCAGTGTCTAAACTCGGCATTTTTTCTCATGCAAAGCCTCCATAATCTTGCACCAAGACAGGAATCTATTCAGTATCTGAGTGAGGCTGAGGGGTCCCTCACGTCATCACAGGCAGAGTGCCTCTTGCTGAGTAGGAGCCCTAGAGTATGGCTTCATGGGGAGGGGCAGAGAAAAAGTCCAATTTCCTTGGATCTGAGCTTCAGTGAGGTTTTACACTTTCTCTCAGGAGGGTTTGAGGCACCTTCACTCATCAAATCATTCAGTAGGAAAATCACGAAATCCTGATGCCCTTCCCTGTTTCTCAATGTTCTGCAGTAGAATTGACAATGACAGTTGTCCCCCCAGTGCTATAGATCAGCAGGCACCTTTTCTTGGTGAGACCATGCACTTTTCCTCTGTACAGAGGTACAGAGATGTGCAGAGTCATCCCAGGTCACAGTGATTCACACCCAGCTATGAAGGCCACTCTCATGGGCATCTGTGCTGTGCTAGACCCTGTGCTGTCATGATCCATGCAACCCTCACTGGACCTCTCCTAGTGGAGATTCTGTCCCTACCTTGGGGACAGAAAAGTTCCGGTCTGCAAACAAGAACTTCTAAAGGCCCTGCACAACATCTCCCACTAGGAAGACATCGTTGGGCTTCATCCCTGAGCAGGGTCAGCACCTCATTGATGTTCTCTGATAGAACTCCAGCTCAGGAGTGCCCCATGGCCTGAAAATTCCTGGTCTCTCCCCTCGGGCTTTTTGCACTCAGGGTCCCAGTGAGGCCTTGAACTTGTCTTTGCCACAGACCAGTGGTTGTCTGGCTTTGTCTCAGAAACACCCAGTGCCAGGGATGGGCAGCCATGAGGAAGCAGGCAAGTGCACAGACACTGTCTCAGGAGGGAGATGTGTGTGCTAGGCCAAAGCAATGCCTTACAGCCCACCTGGGATTTCTTCCTGACTTTTGTGTTTCACCTTAGCTTGTCTCTCCCTTCTTCAGGTGCCTGTAACTAGGTTCCCACTTCAACTGACCAGAAAAGTGATGGCCACATCATGTATATTATTATCTATATGACAGGCACTGAAGGCATATATCCTATGAGTCGATGTGCTTGGTGTATGTTCAGCAAAGCATGTGCATGTATGAAATGCATGTGTTCTTGTGCTAGTGTTGTTCATTCCAGCTGTGAGTGGTCCCCTGTCCTTGTCTCATTACAATGCCCTCCAGGTTGGATGAATCTGCTCCATCCCCCCAAACCTTCAACAGATATCCAGTATGGCTTCTGTGCCTTAAAAGTTTAAGAGCTGTGTGTTTTATTAGTCCCACTTTGTTGAATATTGTGATCCTCTGAGCCATGTTTATTACTTTTGCCTAGTGATAAATTATCAGTGAATATGTATAATATCAACCCAAATGCGCAGCACGCCAGCTGTGGTGGCCATTGAAGGGTGAACCAATGGCAAAGGAAGACCTTTCTCTCTGTCTCTCTCTCTCTCTCACTGTCCACTCTGCCTGTCAAAAAAAAAATCAACCCGAATGAAAACATTTTAGTGTCTGAGCAGATTTCATCTCCCACTTCAGACATGACTGTCCAGGGCCCCTTTCCTTACTTGTTGTCCCTCTGCTGCAGGCCTGACTGCCAGAGAGAGAGCATGAATACCAATCCTGATGGCTGTGGTTCTATTTCAGAACTGAGTTTTGTTGCTGCCCCTGAGAGGAAGACCCGTTCCCAGCTGGAGGGAGGTCCTCTCGAAGATCCCATCACCAGCAAGTGTGAGAGTCATAGCATCAGCCCCAGCGATGTCCCAAGTACCCCAAAAGAAAATGTTATCAAAGGAAAATGGAAGCCCAGGAAATGCAAACTGGCCTGCAGGTTCCCTGGCCTGGAGATGAAGGGAAAACCACAGCCCACAGAGAGGAAGATTGTGTGCCGATTCCCAGGCCAGGAGATGAAGGGAAAACCACAGACCAACATGTGGGCACTGACCTTCAGATTCCTGGGCCTTCACGCCTAGACAGAGGTAATCCTATGTGTGTGTCTGAGATGTACTTGTTCCTTCTTACACTGGGCACAGATTATAGCTCATTTCTGTTTGTTCAATAGGGTAGAACTGTAACCTCTCTGTTTGGATCAATAATTTGAAATAGAAGATACAGTAAGAAACCCTTGTCATGTAGAAACCTGACCCACAAAATAGGATACCTCCCCTCATAATCAAGTTAAAATGTTTACAGTTGAACTTCTCTCCCTAAAACATGCTGTTCACCATCCACTCACTTGATTGCAAGTCCTCTATTGGGTTGAGAAATATACATGGAACAATCACATTTTATCTGATTTTATTCCCAGGCCAATTTCCAATGCGGATTCCTAGGTCTCATTCTCCAATGTTTGTCCTTCCCTCTGACCGGTATACAAACAGGATATTCTCAAAAAGAAAATTTCTTAGGGGAACTGAAAAAAAAAATGGGGAAACTCTAGGATGACTGAAGAGTGCCTGTTTTAAAGTTAATGTTCCCTTCAGAGTTGAGTGAGTAAGCTATTAGGCACACAGCAGAATGGTCCTAGGTGTAACTAGATGTGGAATCATCTTCAGAGAAACTTGGTGTCTGTTCTATTGACATGAGTTGTGCTGTGGTTACACTCCCAGTTCTGTTTGCTTACTGCAGAAAACTAATCCATTTCTAATGCACCAGAGAGCAGGAGGAATTGGGGTGACATCACTCACTCCTGGTTGGGAGAGGTCAAGGGCCCTGGTTCCCCAGCACTGCAGAGCTGGGCTGGAGTTCAGGGCAGGACTCTGCTCATTTGGCTGCCACTTCCCTCTCAGCAGCCCAGGGCTCCCCTTCAGCCAGTCTCCCCACTAGAACTGAGTTTGCCTGGCCTCTGCCCCACTCAGGCCCAGATGCAGGCTCAGCTCTCACCTGGACCTGACCCAGCTCTCCTTTGATTTTTCTTCTCTCCCTCTTTCAGATCCCAAGTACAGTTGGAAGGACAGAACAGTATTGCTGATTGTAACATCCCCACCTCTTCAAAACATCTACCACAAGAGCTCCACTTCAACAGCAACCAGAACACCAAGAACGCAATTTCAACACCATGACCTGCCCTCGGCTGTTTTTATCCACTAGGCTGCTTCCCTGAGAGCTGGCACAGTCTTCCACCTCCAATCTGAGTAAACACCAAAGGAGACCCAGGCCTGACTCCACAGCTGCTCTAGAGAGAACACCACCTGGCTCCTCTCCAACTACCTCCTGTAGAGATCTGAGGTCAGGAGGAGCTGGAAGCAAACAGCACAGGACTCTGGGCACACACTGCCTTTGGATGGGGCGAGCTCGGTGTGGGCAGTGTCAGAGACACAGCGCCCTGTGCACAAGGCTGCATGTGAGCAGAGGAGAGGATCGAACTCTGCAGGACGTGGACCCTGACCCAGACAGCTGGCCCTCTCCTTCACACTGCCAGCATCCACATAGAGGACAGCAGGAGGAGGAGACTTTGGGGCTCAAAAGGACAGGAAGGGTCTCTTTCCTCCTTTTGAACCCCAACCATCTCCCCCTTCTGCTGTCTTCCATGATGGGAACGCTGACTGTGTGAAGGCGCAGGCCAGGTGTCTGGCTCGGGGTCTGCATCCTGAGGATCTCTGATGCTTTCCTCAATTTTACACTCAGCCTCACTCTTTGGCCAAGCACCCGATGCAGGGAGTGCTGTGTGCTCCCTCCCACATCCCCCCAGGAGGCAGAAAACATCTTGTGTGCCCATCAGGTCCCCTGACCCTGGCATCGGTCAGTTGGTGAAAGCTGTCTGTTGAGCTGTACATCCTAAAGATACGCTCCTTCCTCTGTATCCTAACAACTGTGGAGAGGGTGACCCCTCAGAGCCTGAGCAAAAAGGGAGTGAGCAGCGGCCCTGGCGGAGGTCCGGTCATCAACCCAGGAGGTGGCCATTGATGGGCGTGATAACAGCAAGTTCATGGTGATGAATGCAGCAGTGTGGCCGGGAGGGCCCAGGTGGGCGAGGTGGACTGAGCCTGCATCAAGGAACCGGACACCTCTCTGAACACTCCTCTCTCCACGTCCAGAGTCAGGCAGCGCAGATGCGGGCAGGACCTCATCACGAGGACGCTCATCTCTTACAGCTGCTGGTCCTGCCAACTCCACTCAGTGTTGCAGGAGAACTGGGGGCTCCTGATGCAGGACATGGGCCAAGGCACCCAGAGCCCCAGCAAACAGCAAGGCCGTGTTCCTGCCGGCCTGAGGCAGCTGCAGGACGAGGAGGGGCCATATGCCTGCCCCCACGCCGACCTGGAAATCTGAGTCCTCGAAGATTCTGGACGCCCGCTGCTTAGTAGGTGCTCCTGGTCAATGAACAAACCAAGCCAATGGCACCGCTGCCCTGTGGTGGACCTGTTTCTCACAGCTACCATTCTTACTTCCACTGTCTGTCATGCCTGTGATGACACAATTGTTTTCCTTTCATGAAAATTGGGATCCTAGGGAGGGAATTATGTTTCCACCTGAGTGTGCCTCCTCTCAGTGTAACAGCTGCCTTAGACACCCTGTCAGCACATCTTGGGCTCCTAAAATCTACAACTTCTCATTAAGATATCGCTGTCCAGGCCCAGAAGTGTCTCCTGTGTCCTGGAGTGTAACTGGAATCTCAAAAATTTTGATTCAGATCCCAATATGTATTCCCTGTTTTAGTTAAGTGTTTTTAAAAAGAAAAATTCCAAAAAAAAATTAAAAATTTAATAAGAAAAAAATTTTTAAAGTAAAAATAGAAAATAAAAATGGTACTGCATTGTTTTTTTAAAAAGGAAAAAGATTTAAAAAATTAAAATTTTGAAAACTGTTAAAAAATTTAAAAAGAAAAAATTAGAAAAAATGTCATTTAAGTGTTTTTGAAAATAAAATACTGAAAAAATTATAATTAAAAACTTTAAAAACAATAAAAAACAAAAAATAGGAAAGTACTAATAGGAAAATTAAAATGCTACTTCATTTTAGTAACTTTTTAAATAGGAAAAATTTAGAAATATATATAAATTAAAAATTTTTTCAAAAATTTAAACTCAGCAAAAAAACTAAAACTCCATTTCAGTTCAGTGTTTTTGTAAATACAAAAATGCTAAAAAATTTTAAATTTAATAATGATTATACTTTGCAAATGACAAAAGAGAAAATCAATTATTCAGAACAAGTGTAAAATGTCATTCCTATTCACTGTTTCATTTAATGGAGAAAATGCCAATTAATTAAAATTTAACAACTTTGCAAAAATTTAAAACTTAAAACAAAAAAAGCAATACTAAGGAAACAACGTACAACGCCATTTCAGTTAGTTATCTTTCTAAATAAGAAAATGCTAAAAAGAAAGGAAAAAATTTCAAAACAAAAAGAAATTACTAAGAAGGAAAAAAAATGCCACTTCAGTAAAATGCCACAATGCAACCAAAAAAAATGTAAAAATTCTTTTTGCTTTGTTTGACAACTCGAATTGGTTCTCAACAGCTGACCAGTGATGATGACAAGTTATTCAGAACCTCCAGAACAAACCGCCTGGTAATTTATGCCAAGAGACAAATCAGCAGTCCTCTAGGTTTTTCCTTGGATACCACTTTCACCAGCCCTAACTTAGGTGAAACTCTCTGCAGAAATTTTACAAACTCTTTGCTGATTTTGATACCTGCTTTTACTTTTGTTCTGTAAAAATCATACACTTTCGATAATAAAATTTCAGAGTTGAAATAAAACACTTTGGAGAGTGCTGCTTGGAAGATGGACAAATATCCTGTTTGAAAATGGCCTTCCTTTAACAATTTTACCATGCATTAACCATTCATGCCTGTGTCAGTTATTATATTCAAGTCTAATACTAGATTTCTAATAGAATTCTTCCTGAAGACTGGATCCTGGCATTCTGTAGTTCAAAAGCATTCTCACCCCAACGTGGAATGTTATTGCAAATATCCTGTTAGCCCATACCATTGAATTTTTTTCTCTATCTCTTGGATTTTTTAATTGCAGTGTTATAATATATTACATCTCATATTGGGTGTGTCAATTTTTTACCCTTGTATCTCTCTCTCTCTCTCTCTCTCTCTATTTATTTATATATGAAGTAGACTGCTTTTCTCAAGCTATAGCAGAGAGCCAGATCAGAAGAGGAACAGTCGAGTCTTGAACCAGAGTCCAAATGGGATGCAGGCACTGCAGCCGGAGGATTAGCCCACTATACCACAGTGCTACAACCGGGTTTTCCAATATTTAAAGAGATTTATTTATTTTTCTTCAAGGCAAACATAAGAGAGAGGGAGAGCTAGATAGAATGAAACACACACACACACAGAGATGTTCCATCTGATTCACGTCTCAAATGCCTGCGGCAGCCACGGCTAAACCAGGCGGAAGTAAGGAATCCAACAACTTAAGCCATCTGCTGCCTCCCATTACTACAGGAAATATGGCTTAGAAGCAGCTGGGTCTTGAACCAGGCACTCTGACATGGAAGCCGCTGTCATACTGATGACTTTACCCAGGGTCCCACGATGTCAGCACCTGCCTTCCTTAAAAAATAAAAAAAGTGTATTGAAAAGCAGCATTACAGTGAAGAGGCAGAGGATGAACAGTGGGAGAAAAGGGAGAGGGAGGTGGTGCTGGGGTGGAGAGAGAGAGAGAAATACCTTCCATCTACTGGTTCACTCCCCAAACGCCTGCAAATTCAGGGAAACCTCCTGGCTGCCTTGAATGTTTCCATTCCTGCACTTGGGACTCCAGGCCAGAATCCAAGTGTCTCTCCTGGAAGGCCAGCCATCTGCCAGCAGGTCTTAGGACTTCCTAGCCTACATGACCACATGACACAGTGCCTTATCCCATGATGCCCTTGGGATCCAGGGACCACAAGTGCAGGTTCCATTCGCAGTGATTTTGAGAATTGAAAAAGAATGCATCTGTACTGTCCATATACCATCTTTTTCCCCTTGAATTCTTCTACACACAGTATACCATTTACATCATAGTCTCTTTAGGTATAATAAGATATTTAGGGACAACTGAAAACATATGGGAGAATATTTGGTCCAATGCAAATGCTACCCATTTATGTACAGGACTTTAGCAATGGTGACTTTAGTGCCTGCAAGTGATCCCAGACCCCATCTGACACAGAGCTTCATGGACAACTGTCCATATTCCATAAGTCCTCGCAGGGTCTCACCAGACACAGAGTATTGGCCTGAGACTTGAGGTGCAGGTCTAATGAATCCTGCAAGTACAGAAGTAGCTTTGCCCCTGGGGAACAGGTCCCCACTGGAGGCGTTTTCAGATGCACACTGAGCTATGGATGGGAATGGGGATTCTGGTGAGGTCTGCAGTGGAAATGAGGAATAGATGTGATTGAAGACCAGGAACAAGGTGAACCTTGTTTGTAAGAGGCAGGGAACTTGGTTTCTGGCATTTTTCTAGAAGGTATAACTTGCCAGGAATGAAACTGGACATTAAATGGAGGTAAATTCTCAGTAGTGCATTAAAGGTGAAGTTGGCTTTCTGGCATTTTTTAAAAAGAATTATTTATTTGAATGGCATAGATACAAAATAGGAGAGAGAGACTTTCATTTTGTTACTCCCCAATGGCTAGGGTAGGGTCAGGCCAAAGCCAGGAGCCAGGAGCTTCTTCCAGGTGGGTGCGGATGCCCAAGCATGTGGGCCAACTTCTACTGATTTCCCAAGATGTTAGCAGGGAGCTGGATCAGAAGTGGAGCAGCTGGGACCTGAACTGGTGCCCATATGGGATGCCGACTCTGCAGGTGAGGACTTAGGCTTCCACGTTACAGCACCAGCCACTGGCTTTCTGACTATTTATACTAATGTCAAAAAAGAGAAATTAATTTCTGGGAATTCTTAACAAAAAGGAACTAGAATTTGAAGATTTGGAAAACTGCGTCTATCCACATTACAACAGGTGAAATGCGCACCACATGAATGCAAGACACCAATACTGGTGGGAATTTGTTCTGGGGATACAGAGCATGGGGGAACTCTCTCTAAATCCTGCTGCTCAGTTTATCCTCTAATAGATTGCTGTTCTATGAATAAGTGTTACATTTTACAAAGAACGTGACAGGCTCAAATAAATGGTGGCATTCTGTGATGTTGTGGTTAATACAAATTATTGAAGTGACCGACACGAGTCACAACCATTGGTGAACTCTATGCCTGTGCATTCAGCCTGTGATCTCAGAGATCATCTTAGAATCAAGACAGCAGAGCAGTTAGGTCAAGGTCAAGGTCTAGGTCTCTGTCCCTGATGGAAGCTGTGAAAGTTATGTGGCTGTGCCCCTTTGGACCTAGCAGCTCTCCACACCCGCACACTTCAGTCAGCCGAGGTGATTTTTTTTTTTTTTTTTTTTTTGGACAGGCAGAGTGGACAGTGAGAGAGAAAGACAGAGAGAAAGGTCTTCCTTTGCCGTTGGTTCACCCTCCAATGGCCGCCGCGGCTGGCGCGCTGCGGCCGGCGCACTGCGCCGATCCGATGGCAGGAGCCAGGAGCCAGGTGCTTTTCCTGGTCTCCCATGAGGTGCAGGGCCCAAGCACCTGGGCCATCCTCCACTGCACTCCCGGGCCACAGCAGAGAGCTGGCCTGGAAGAGGGGCAACCGGGAGAGAATCCGGCGCCCCAACCGGGACTAGAACCCGGTGTGCCGGCGTCGCTAGGCGGAGGATTAGCCTAGTGAGCCGCGGCGCCGGCCCTTCTTTATGCAGGGCATGAGGAGAAATCAGCACTGAGAGGCAGAGACTCCACCAGATGACCTTGAACACAGGAGTGAGCAGTGTCCCTGGGATGGAGAGCAAGAGCCTGAGGCGCTGAGGCTTTCCAAGCTTCCAGGAAGACAGGAAAGGGCCACTCCTCCTGGGCACTTAGGTCCTGGTGCACCTGAGTCTGAAAGTGATGCTTCCTTGGTTTTCTTTGTTCCTGCGCAGCCAGGAGGCCTGGGTGCCTGCATCCCCCTAGGTGGTATCCCTCCAGTCACCACAAGGAGGGGCTGTGATCCTTCCACATGGCACTGGCTGGCAAAGCCAAGTGTTCCCTTTGGTTTGGCTGTTGCCAGGCATTTTCGTTTCTTTTCTTTCTTTCTTTCTTTCTTTCTTTTTTTTTTTTTTACAGGCAGAGTGGATAGTGAGAGAGAGAGAGACAGAGAGAAAGGTCTTCCTTTTGCCATTGATTCACCCTCCAATGGCCGCCATGGCTGGCGCGCTGCGGCCGGGGCACCACGCTGATCCGAAGGCAGGAGCCAGGTGCTTCTCCTGGTCTCCCGTGGGGTGCAGGGCCCAAGCGCTTGGGCCATCCTCCACTGCCTTCCCTGGCCACAGCAGAGAGCTGGCCTGGAAGAGGGGCAACCGGGAAAGAATCTGGCACCCCGACCGGGACTAGAATCCGGTGTGCCGGCACCGCAAGGTGGAGGATTAGCCTAGTGAGCCCGGGGGCTGGCTTTTTTTTTTTTTTTTTTTTTTTTTTTTTTTTTTTTTTTGACAGGCAGAGTGGATAGTGAGAGAGAGAGACAGAGAGAAAGCATTTTCACTTTCTGGAACTGGAACTTGCCTATTTTGGTGAGCCCAGGTATGGAGCTGTCTTGGATTAGCCAGTCCAGCCCAGGCCTGAGGTCTGTCTGAGGAACCTCAGCCACTCAGCCTGGAAACCCAGCACCTGTGGATTCTGTCATCTCCCTCAGCCTCCCCAGCAAAGACCCAAGGCACTCCTCCTCTTCCTGTCAGAAGGCAGCAGCCCCTTCCTGTCAAGGGGGTGGGGGTGGGGGGTAGGAGGAGACTGAGGGGAGGGTGGAGGAGCTGCATCCAAGGAGAGACAG